TAGATTCTTATGTTCATTTCGTTAAAACCAGTCTTGTCAAATTCACCATAATTTTGTATCAGATTTTCAACTGCTACAGCCAGAGCGTCATCTGTAGCCTCTAGCATAAACTTTGTTTCAATAATTTGGAAAATATTTTTGATTTTTTAATAGCCAAATTCGAAAATTCTTGTATAAAGCGGTCTATGCATTCATACATTGACCGACGTATTTCTTCTTGAATTGATAATCCAGCATCATGAGCTGATTCACCCGATATATTCTTTTTACCTTCACTTTTCCTGGTTTCTTGATGTTGATGAACCACCTAAATACTTATTCAAGGCGTTTAGTTTGGTGATTCCTGTATCTAGAGTCATTTTTGGAGACCGCAATAATTGTTAGACTTAAATAGAATGTAGTGAATGTAAATGTATGCGTACAAGAGTAAATTATTTGCACTTCACTCATTCAGGGATTCCTGAGGAAGTACCCGCTACAAAGACGGGAATTCCCCCAGGGTATTGGACGCGTTCAGCAAAGTTAAAAAAATATTAGTACCGCGTAAAAAGTCTAGATTACTGTAGTGTTTTGATCATGATGAAATTATGTAGGTACTAAGCACATTTTTAAAGTCTTGTTTAGGATTTGATCAGGGTAACGTGGAGGCATTTGGGGGCCTCCCAAGATCGGAGGCCCGGGGCGGGCCGCCCCTTCCGCCCCCCTGTTAGACCGCCACTGGTCCTAACGACTGCAGATGTAGGCGGGACCAACGGCTTAAAGTGTCTTCCGAAGCACGGAGAAGCTCGGGATAGTAAGCCTAGTAAACCCGGATAGCGAAAACCATTTCGCTATCCAGGCGAATGCACTGACTATTATGCTACCGCAGCCCTGATTGAAGTGTCGAATTTTCTCTAGTATTTCAAAGGCTGCAAAGCAGCGCCATCTCTTCGCATTGTACAAACGTTTGAAAGAAGAAATAGCAATTATAGTTATATTTCAATTTTATTAATAATTGTGTTTTAGTGAAGGGTTCAGTTCTAGTCCCGTCTGCTGCCTGCCGCGTGGAATTTTTCCTTGTCAAAATTTCTTTACATTTAAACAGCTAGCAGTTAAATGCTTAAAATATTAAGATATAATTAACTTAGAAGTTGAATTTTCACAACTTAAAGGAACCATAGATTTGAGAACAAATATGTGCTTTTTCAACTTGATATCTCACCATCACGCGTTCCCGAGATAAAAAGTCTTGACAGACACACAACAAAAGTGACACTATAAGTGTTCCGTGTTTTTTTTCAGGGAGGGCTCTTTAGGCTTTCGTATTTATTAAACTCGGTTTTATTAAACTTCAAACGTTTCATATCGTGGGAAAATATACAGCCATATTGGACTGACGTCACATTTGGCATTAATTGAGCGTACAATATCATACAACAATTAGAAGTCGTATTGTACATTGATAGGATTTTAATATGCACGGCATATGGCCTTTTTGTTATCGTAATTCAGTAAGGTTATTTTTATACAAAGCACAGCAAATGACCTTACCCGACCTCATTTGAAGTTTAAGTAGAGTCCATAACATACTTGATGTTGCAGAAAAGTCTAAACTTCTTACAACCTGGGATCCTTTAAAAGAGGCGTGAAGAAACAACATGCAGGCCGGCAGGGTGAGGATGGCTGGTGTGGCAGGTAGAACTGCTGTACCAGCTATCTTCACGTCTGGACTTTACCATCACTTAACATCAGGTGGGGTGGAGTCATTTGTCGGACCTATCTATATATAAAAAAGCAGTAACACTTTTTTCAAGTCGGATAAGAAAAAAAATTCAATTAAAGGACAGAATAGTTCTAGCAATGTCGGATAGCCAACAGCCACTTTTTTTTCAAGATATTTTGACCGTCAAAGTTACCAGTTTCAGATTTTATGTCCTAATCATAAATATTTATACTGTCGCTTAGAAAAATAAATTTTGAGAAATACATAATAATTATATACGATACTGAATGAATGTTTTAACAAAATACTAATAGAAAAATATCTATAAACTTAATAAAACATTGAAGAAAATATATAAGTAACTTCTTATATTCTTTATTAATTTTGTTTGTTATCATATTGTACATACGTTAATAAATGAATGAATAAAAATAAACTTTATTGAAGTTGACTTTTTAAACTGTTTTGAATCGTCTTAAATTTTTAATATTTTTTCCTACCGTTCAGGAGTATATTTTAGAAGAACAGGTGCAATAAACTTATCAGCTTTTTACGAAGTAGCTACAATAACATAAAAATATGTCATTTTATAATATTACAATATTTATGTGTCAATAAAATAGATCAAGAATATTTTACAAGTAATTTTGATTAGTACTTAATAAGCAAAGAAATTTAAAGAAAATATTACTAGAAAAAATTCCACGCGGACCAGGCAGCAGACGGGACTTTAACTCGCACCCTTCGCTATCCGGGCGAATGCACTGACCAATTATGCTACCGCGGCCCTGACGGCCGTGTTGAATTCTTTCTAGCCTTTCCTAAGCCGCAAGGCAGCGCCATCCCTTCGCATTGTAGATAACCCACAAAGACATTTAATCTAGATCTTTACAGCCAGTCTCAAACTATTTATTTCTTTAAACATGTTCCTAAAGGAATCCATTGACCGTACGTTGTATATGCTAATGTTGTGCTATTTAAAATTAATTCATGATACTTTGCTGATTCTCAATGAAATTGATTCGTGAATGTAAGGCCAGAAAGTACAGAAGCAATTCAATGTCATTGCGTTCATACGTTCTATCCGTCTTGTTACAAATAACCTATTGGAATATACAAGAGACTTTACAGGAGATTTTAAACTCCCCAGGGTGCAAACTGAAGACTCCTATTGGTTGTGGAACAAGGGCGATTATTGATGGCAATGCTCAGATCGTGTGTAGTATGTTTCCAGTAGGAAATGATACGAGAAAACTAATGAATATAAAATAATTGGACAACACAGACGTTTCGTCCTACGGTGCGGTACAAATGTCCTATTGCAATTCAACAGTTGGTCGCCCCATGTAAGTAACGACAGCAGGAAAAATGGAGTCTTATTTTAAACTCTATTTTAATGAATTTGGTGAAACCGTTTCTAAATATTACGCAGAATCAATAAGTCGTTATTACTATTCAGTTGAATATGTATAAATAATATGTTACGAAGATTGAATTTCTATGTATTAAAGACAAGAGCAAATTATGTTCTTAAAAAAGCATAAAATAAACTTTGCACAATGTTTAAGCAATTAAATAATATAAAAAAAAATCACGCCTCGCCTCGACGCACCGGTTAGCACTAAAGGCCATTAGACAGGTGGCCCTTTTTCTGCAATTCGGGTGTAAGCTAATGCTGACTTTAAAGTTTAAAAATCTTATTCTATCTTCTATATGAATATCGAACCGTTGAAATGTATGTACGCGAAAAAATCACAAAATATTTTATTGTCAAGATAAGGTCATAGTCATAGTCATAATAGTCATAATAGTCATAATATTTATTGCTTCATGTTGGTTACATTTCGTTCTTAAATTTAATAACAGCTCGCAAACATGAGCCCTGCAAGGGCATTGCAAATTATAATAAATGTATACAAATATTAATTTAAAATTTGATAAAATTACAATAGGATAACAATTTAAGATAGATAGAAAATTTAAATAAGTTAATAAAAAAGAATATAATTTTAAAATCAATTCATATTATACTTAAAGCAATTATAAAATACATTTAGGGTTAGGTCAAGAGATGTATGTCAATCAAATCAAAAAATAAATAAACAAGTAACAATAACATTCAAAGTAATAATCCATTCAAAATTCATTCACATAATATTCATTATAATTTAGTTTAATAATTTCGGTTTAGGTCAATAAATTTACGTCATAAAAAAATCAAATCAATTAGTCAAACATCAATAATTATAACGTCATATACAAAATTTATAATGTCATACACACACAAAAAATAATACAGATTATTAGGTATCATTAAAATTTATCATTTAAGAACTCCTTCAAATTATAATAACACTTATCTATAAGAAATTGTTTTAAATTATTATTAAATGTACAATCTTTTTCAATGTTTTTTATATGATTCGGTATTTTATTATATATTTTAACAGAGATATGGTATGTTCCTGAGCTTACCAGATGTAATTTAGTAAACGGTATTGCCAATTTATTTCTATTTCTTAAATTACGTGTTTGAAAATATGTATCACTAATATGTTTATATAAATGTCTATTTTTGCGCACCATTTTACTAATTTCAAATATATATATACATGGAAGAGTAAGTATCTTTAGTTTTATGAAATGTGGTCTACAGCTTTCCGTGTCTGTAATATTCACCAATATACGTATACATCGCTTTTGTAATACAAATAGTTTATTTATGTCGGTACTATTACCCCATAAGATAATTCCGTAACTTAGCCATGAGTTTGCGTAAGCATAATAAGCGCTTTTTGCTGATATTAAATCTGTACTTTTCTTTAGGTTTGTATGACATATTTTTTTAATCTCAAATAATTAATTTTAAATCAGGATATGTTTATTTTTTGTAAAATCTCAACACTTTAAATTCTCAATACCATATTGCCCCCGTGCGAAACCAAAGGGCGGGTTGCTAGTAAACTATAAACTTCAAAATAATATGTCAGAAGCTTATATAAAATGCAATATTTTTTTACACAGAAAGCTCTAGACAATACGTAAAGGCATTGTTTATTCCTTATTATTTATTTTTCTTTTAACGCTAACGAACGTTATTTTTAAGCGTTACCATTCATTCTTTATCATTCAATAAGAAAAAGAATGCCTTTCCTTTAAGAAACAAATTCACAAGTACGAGTTACTTAAAATATTCACGAAAAATATTTTACTTACTCTCTTCCTTTTTTCCTGCCCCTATCAAGTAAGACGACCCATATATAAGCTCCGGTACTCTCAGTAGAGCATCACAGAAACTCGAAGTGCCGTGGGACAAACTAATCTTATGTCATTAACAAAGTAGAATTATAATAAAATTTATTAAGTGTTCGGTTTGGGTTATGCATTAACTGATTTTGAAGGTAAGCTCCAAAATTTACTATTAAATATTTTTACTTTTTTCAAGTGTTTAACTAAAATCGTAATATCTAAAAATTTTATCACTTTGTCCAAAACCTTATGAAATGAAATATATATCCAATTGTCCAAGATATTTTTAAAATATTAGTTCAGGTTTTTGTAAATAATAGTTTTTAATAATTTAAGTGATATTCAAGTGAAATGTTGATGACGTTATAATTTTTATAAGTAAAATTTTTTTATCACCAACAAAAGTAATAAAAGAAGTATTAATACTTATTTAATACATGTATTACTACATATATATTCATATTTTACTGTGTATTATCAATCTCTAAATAAAATCAACTAAATATTTTTGTAAGTCCGATTGAGAAAAGAATACCCAAGTATTGATAAATGAATAAAAATACCTATACGAAATTATCATTTCTGTATAGAATAGCACGGCTGAATGGTTACAATCTACTTAAAATATTATATCTAATAATATGAAAACATGATTTTATTATGTCAATTTCTTATTACCTACCAAAAAGTTTTCGGAGCACTTATTTTTATATCTTCTAGACGTGAGTGCTTAATTAATATTGACACTGGTGATTTAAATACGAATTTTTTATGTTGACATTAGCTGTTGTAGTATTTTATAAAAAGGTCAGTTTTAGAGATCCGTAACCGTTGAGTCACAAACGGCGCCCTATATACATGAAAATGGGTTGTCTGTCTGTCTGTAATCATAACACCTTTGAACGGAAATAGGGTAAAATAGCACTTTATTTTTTTATAAAAAAACAACGTTTTTTTGACCGCTATCATCAGAAGTAAAAAATGAAAATCGATTTTCTGATTTTATAAAATTTGATCGATTATTCTTTGTTGGTATGCTCTATCTAGTTTTACTATGTTTTGATCGAATATTATATTATGGCACGGAACCCTTCATTGGAAGTTTGAACTTGGCAAGTTGTCTTGCACGTTTTACCGTCCCGTGCCTCAATCTGTAGAAACGGAACCCTTATAGGAGCACTCGGTTGTCTGTCTGTCTGTCGCAGTCGATTTGCTCATAATCTACTGGACCCATCAAGTTGTGGTGCATACATTATGTCTGTGACCCGAACACGGAGGAATTATATACTATTAATAAGTATAATTATAATATAATATGTTTAGCTCACTGTACCGTGTTATATAGGTATGAAAAATGAAAGACCTCCTTGTGATGATTTCAAATATTTTTTTCACAAATGTAAAATGAATAGTTTAAATATTATTCAAGAAAATAGATGAAAGTTTCTCCGAAACTACAGTGTCTAAAATATATAGATAAATCATTTATTCCCATCAGTACAGCACACAAATTCAAGTAAACGAATAGACGAATTAATTACTAAATATGTAACTGTACGTCGCAACGACAGAAGAAGGCAAAACCACAGCGATACCTTTGCTCTGAGAGCAAAGCACTGGTTTTTAGTTAGCTAGAAAGCGCGTATCGTGAGACGACACTGTGTACTTAATACAAATAGATTGTTTAATTATATCTTATCTATTAGACAAGTCCGACCGTCCGTCTGTCTGTGGTGCTGTTTCAGCGGCCAAACCGTAAGAGATAGATAAAGAGAATGTTTAAGTTATAAGTTAAGAATAGTCTGATAAGACTACAAACCGGATTTGAGTAACGTAGCACTTCCGGTTTTCGAGAAATCACGAATTTCAAACGAAACCACACAAAATCTCCGAAGTTCTCAATTAATTAATTACTTTTTTTTTAAATTCAGGTTTTGGTGAACATTTGGTTCACTGGTTGCTAGTTATTGTTATAATAATTATATCAGTTATTATTATAACTTCACTATGTTACATTGTTACTGTTACGTAAACGGAATCCTAAAACGGATCTACATTCAGCTACATTCCATATATATATATATATAAATATAAAGAATGTTGCTCTTTTGTTGATAACAGGAGAACCTATAAGAAGTTACAGAGTTATGGTAGTTTTCAATAAAATAAAATATTTAAAAGGATGCCCATATAACAGACGTGATTTATTGCCATTTTTTCGCTCGTTATTTAATACGGTGTCTAATGTTATATCGATAATGCTACAGAACCCTTCGTGCGCGACTCCGATTATCACTTTATTTGTATTTTTAGGGTTAAGTAGTCAGTCCTAACAAGAAACCAATATAGTTTCGTCATGTCCGTCTGTCCGTCCCAGTTTTGCTTAAAGCAATAGAGAGCTGTAATTCTGTGAGGATATGTATATCGATCACGCCGATAAAATGGTAGAATAAAATAATAAAAAAACTGTTTTAGGGTCGCTCCCCTGCATTTAACCTGGGCATGATATTTTTCATCATCTACCCCATAGTGTGGCATGTCGTTGAATAAGTCCTTTAGGAATATTTTTCGATTTAGGGATCCGTTTGCGAAATATTGAACTTTAAAGTGCTAATTTTTGTTCGAGTAGGGCGTTTCCCTTCATATTGGTGTCGATGCAGGCATGATTCTCTAAAGCTAAACTTAAATTTTAAAACATTGTATCCTTGTCATTCTCTATACAGAATGAAAAGGAGAGACTGATGTTAAATTTAGAGAATCGTGTCAGAATCTACACCAATGTCTGTCATTTGTTTAGTCGGTTTGAAATTTATTCAATATCGTTGGGAGCGCATGAAGTACTTAGCTAATTTTTTTTTTATATTGAAAGGGTGGCAAACAAACATATGGCCAGCTTGATGGTAAGCGGACACCATAACCTATGGACACTTGCGATATAAAAAATATCAGTCATACCGTTGCCTACCCTGACCCAATCCCCTTTTTTTTTTTTTTTTTAATCTCTAGAAAATGCATTACGCATACTTCGCCAACCGAGGGTTGCGGACGAAGCTATCGGGGACTCCTCTCCGCCGCTTCAGGGAACACAAGTGCTCCGAGAAGCAAGCGGGGCCCTACCTCGCCAAGAAGGCGACCGCCACACGGACGACCGTAAAAACTAGACAATACTCCTGCACCGGTCACCCGGCGCGCATTATGAGGGACCGCGGTCCCTCCTAGTGCGCACCGGGAGTGCGAGTGATGTGGCGGTATCCGTTTCCGAATAGTCCGCCCAACCCAATCCCCTTACCCTTGGAGCCCTGGAACCTTACTCAGCGACAGAAACACAACACCAAAAGCTTGTGTTATTTTACTGTGATCTTCTGTAGCCGTCAGTAAAACTTTTGGTCAAAAGTCATCCGTCTTCATTTGCGATACTTCTAATTTGGAACTTATCCGAAAAAACTAATAACTATTGTACTGCCGTGTTTTAGAACACGGCAATGAATATACTGCCGTGTATCGTGTTTTGATGCTGAATAGACCCAAATTGCCGTGTAACACGATAATTGCCGTGTAAATGGCAACACTGTCTGAGTCGCGCTAACGTTAAGTTTTTATATAAGCACTTGAAAAGATCAGCGGTTAAACCACATCATATTCTTCTCTGGGGATGATCGCTATAGATTAAGCTTGTAAGGCTCTTCTGGCCATAAGCATGAACTACAGGTGTGTTTAAGTCAGTTAAGAGTCTGACATAACCTTGTAGCCGGCTGTAGGGTATCCATGAGAATTTCACACCCACTCCCTCGCCTGGGAGAAATCAAAAAAGTCAGCGGTTATCATTCGTAATTAAACAAATAATAATATCGAATTGATTTTTAGTTTCAAAAGCAGTTTGACTTTGGTAGGTAATTTAGTTAAGATTGATATTAATTGCTTTTTCTAATTTCCGATACAGAAAATAAAGACTCCTGCTCAAATATATTGTGGTAACTACGGAATCCTACACGTACTAGGCCGTCCCCTCTAGCATGACCACTAAAACGGGATATGATAAAGCGATATATCGACATTAACTGTCAGACTACTGTCAAACTCCATAGTAGCCTGACAGTTAATGCCGATATATCGCTTTAACATATCCCGTTTCGGTGGTCATGCTAGAGGGGCTGGTTTTATAATTACGAGAAGTTGTACTTTAGCCGTTAGGAAATATCTTGAATTATTCATTCTTATGATATTATTTATTTAAATGTGAACGTCTTTGAATATTAGGTGATAGGATTGATTGAGACAGAAGATTGTACTTGGTACTTATGGTTGGTTTCATGGTGTCTCCGACTCGAGAGGTCGCGGGTTCGAATCCCGGTGAGGGCAGATGTTTGTGTGATGAATGGATGTTAAATATGTATTTTTATATAAATATACTTATATATGTACAGTATATGTATTCAAGGCCGTCGCCAAGGGGTGAGGGGCAGGGGGGGCAGCCGCCCCCCCTGCCAAAGTGGGAGCAATTGACTTCTTTACCTATTATATTGCTATTAAAAAATAATTTACTTGTTTTTCCATATAAGTAGTGTTTCTCTTTTCTATCCTCTTCTTCTCAGCTCTCGTTGCGATCCTCTTCTAACCTTCTTCTTGAAATTCCCTTAGTGCACGCCGCTCGGCTGTGGAATTCTCTCCCTGAAGGAATCAGAAAGGCTCGTTCACTTAATTCCTTTAGCGATCAAGTTAAAAGCTATTTTCTTTCCGTTTCTTAAATCTATTTATCATCCCATTTCTTTGCTTCTCTTCAATATTTATGGAAGGATTATCTCCTGTATTTTTTCTTTTGCACTCTTCTATATTTATTTATATTATTATTCCTCTTCCACCATAGGTTGCCTGGAAGAGATTGCTGTTTAGCAATAAGGCCGCCTATTGTACTCTTTCTTCTGTTTTATTTGTTTATACCTTGTGTCCTTTGTTGTGTGCAATAAAGAATATTTATTATTATTATTATAAAAAGACATGCAATCCAAAGTGACACTCATTCAGAAATCTGACTTAGTCAATATTATCGAATTTAAAATATTTTTTCACTGAAAGTTGTGATTTGAAAAATGCCACGAGGATTATCAGATGTTTTACGAGCCAGAATTGTAACTTTGAGAGAAGAAGGCTATTA